GATGCACACCACGGCGGCGGCGGGCCTGGGCGAGGCAATGACCCGACCCCGACGGGATCTAGACGAACTGGAGGGCGGCGAGGCAGTTCCCGACGTTGAGAAGGTGCGGCGGCCCGCGGTCGGCAAGCTCCAGCATCAGTGGCTGGTCCAGAGGGGGGTGGAGCATCGGCTCCGTCGCCGAGCTCGAGCACGCCGGTGCCCAAAGGGATGCAGACCTTGGGGCGGACCGGTGCCGAGGAGGATGCAGACCACGGCGGCGCTCCAGCCTAGTGGGATGCAGACCACGCGGCGGTGTGCCTGAGCGAGGCAACGACGGCGACGGGCCTTGGAGAGGAAACGGCAGCGGCGAGCCTGGGCGAGGCAACAACGATGGTGGACCTGGCGAGGCAATAACGAAGTCTCTGTGAAGACAAGATGCGTGAAGATAAGATGAACCCGTTTTTTTTTTCTTTTTTTCTTCCAATGACAGGTGGACCCACATAGGGATGATAACGTTACCTGGCGTTGCCGTTACATGTGAGATGTTAAGCGGTGCCACATCAGCCTGACTGGCGGGTCCCTTCTGTCATAAACTCACTTATCTGAGCCCGATCCGCCGACCAGTGTTTGATGCAAAAAGATTACCGAAGACACGGTGTTTTCGGTAAAAAAATTGCATTGTAGTGGTTTTCGCAAACCTTGCCTTCAAAATGATGGTTTTGTGCAATTTACTCTACACCGGGCCGGTGGATTAATTAGGTGGAACCCATGAAAAGTGCACAAGACAAAGGCATAAACGACCTAGCAACGACTACCAACCGATCTGATCTGATATCTTCTATCTCTCGCGTGTGCACGTCGCTCTAGTGCTACACTAGCTACTTTCTTTTCTGGAAGGTGCTACACCAGCTTGGTACGGGCCCTTCAAGCACACGCCTATATAAACCAGCCACCTCCTGCTCGAAATAGCATCGCATGCATTCTGGCATTCACCCAGCACATATCTATCTACCTTGCTCATCACTCGCAGAGTTGCCCTGACATTTCGGGATCACTTGCTGTAAAATATTGCAGGTAGGTTCCTGAGCTTGCATGCGCATGGCCAAGGCTTGTGTACTCCGCGGTGCCATGCTGATAGTGTGCACGCTCTTGCTTCTCTCGTCCTCTTTCATGGCGGCCGAGCCGGCTGGCCAACAATTGGATCATGTGAGAAAGGCCACGGTGGCGGCCACGACAATGGCGGCAGGGCGTTTTGTGAGGAATGTTCTGCGGGAGGAGGTTGTCCAGGCGGACGACGTCAATGGTGTCGTTGACATTGGCGACTCTAAGAGGAAGAGCCCCGGTGGCCCAGACCCGCAGCATCATTAACTGAGGTCGAGGTCTCCTTGCATGCAGTTTCTCTACAACGGCATCATATATACATGGGTCCTGAATCCCAAGATAGATCGATCAATCAAGTTTGTGCTCTTGTCTTGATATAGTAGCGAAAGAGATAGTTTTGTTTCGCAAGCATATATGTATACATGTTACATGCATACTACACCATATAGTAGGAGAGAATGCAGCACAAGTTTGTGGAACAGATCAAATGTTGTGACTCGTTTTCTCAAAGGGAATCATTTTTTTGCGTCTGCATTTTGCCAACCCTTTGCACAAGATTCAGTTCAGTTCCATGAGAATGTCTATCATAGTGGGTGTCCAAAATTTCTTTTAGTCTCCCTGCCACACTCTGGTATTTAGATCAACAATTTTTCTATCCGTGGTCAGCTTGTACATATTTTATTATACACCAGAACGTTTAGTTAACTGCAGACAAAGCACAGATGGCTAGTTATGTTGGAACCTGCTCATCTGAGTTAAGGTCGTCCTAGACATGGCAAGGTTGGTCGCAGTTTCTTAGGTTTATTTCAGGCTTTTGGGTGGTACTCTTTCAGCAGTATGGTGTCCCCGTCCACTATAAGGCGTCTATGTGACTTAGCTAATCTCAAGATCTATATCGGGTAGGTCTCTTAGAGGTGCTTACAGGGTAGAATGAATGCGTGTGCATGTATGTAAGTGCCTGTGTCTATACTCTGTTTCTCCAAATAAAATAAAAACTCTTAGTTCACTTAACTAAAGACACACTTACAGACCAAGTAGTGAGAGAGAAGTCATGGAAGTGACCCATGAGCGATCACTCGTCGTTTTACTCTGTCCATTCCCCTCACCTTCAACTCTTCAACTGACATCACCATAAAAAAAGTTGTGCTGGAGAGGCTTGGGGTGATTGTTGCAGCGATGGAGATTTATATACCCACGAAAAGGCGCCCTCCGGAAGGAAACGGGGGCTGATTTGCTGCGAGCGGGTGGGAAATGGGTGTTGATTTGTCGCACGCGGATGCAAAACACGGTGACGGCCATTAATTGATGCTCTTCCTGGTGAAAATGTGGCTGCAACATTGGTACGAGCAAAAACGGAAGCCGTACGGATGATCATGCCATTGACTGGGCTGCGCATGGGAGGAAGATGCCAGGTAAAACTTCCCGCCTAGGCAAATCGTTTGAGGATGGCGCACATTCCAAACCAACATCCCAACCTTCAAATATTGAAGCCCACGGCTTAGATATGGAACGTCCTCCATAAATTGTGAGCGACTTAGTTGGAGTGCGCTTTGGGCCAAAATTATTATATTGGCGGTTGTCATGCCGATCGGCCCGATATGATGACTCTGCTAGATTTGCTCTAAAATCCTTTCATCATAGTTACGTACATCAATGTTGATGACCCATACAATAATCTGTCTAAAGACAAGTCAAATTTTAGCCATCACTGCTAGTAAGAGAAAATTACAGCCAACATATGTACAACGGCAAATTACAGTCACCACGAGAACTGCTGGCAAGACAAGAAAAGGACAAACGCGTTACCTTTCTCACACAGGAGTGACACGATCGACAACCAAAAAAGGTTATAGTACAAAATTTTCAGCAGAGCTCACGGAGGATTGTCTGCCACGAGCCAATTTATTCCGCCTATCAGCGTGCGCCGCCAGTACGAGAAGCCATGCGTGCAAAGCACTCGTGCGTCTATCTGCTAATATCGCCGTGGCCATTAGCCAAGTGGATAGTTCGGTTGGAGTTGGATTTAGGTTATCAACTGTCTGTCCAACTGAACTTCTAAGTAAATGGCCAAGTGTCATCATGCTCGAATTAATTAACTGGCGTGACTTAGATATGCTTAAAAGAGAGAGGAGCTTGTCATTTAGCTAGCAGCTAGCCTTTTCTTAGCTGAGCACCTAGCTAGTTTTTTAGCTGAGCAGCTAGCTAATTGGTTTAAGAGGCAGTCATGTTTGCTTTGTCGGCAAAAAGAAAGTGTAACGGTCAGATGGTAATGTTTTTTTTCTTTTTTCGAAAAGGGGAAAGACCCCGGCCTCTGCATCATCATGATGCACACAGCCAATTTTATTAAAAGGGAATAAATAGATTTGAAACGTACATAGTATCAACTAAAATGGCAAAAAGAAAAAGAAAACACCACAAATAGTGGGTACAAACGAAAGATTACATGACTTAACCACATAATCTAGTGACATGCCAGCCAAACCGGTTGAATAACGCCTGTGAAACCATCTCCAGACGGTTGCACCCAAAGGCCATGAGCCCCCCAACGTCCACACGCTGAAGTGATAACCACATACGGATCGCTGCGGTGGCTCTGAATATAACCTGCAAAAAGTTAATAGATCGGGACCTGTTAAAAACACAATTATTCTGGCAATTCCAAATTGCCCAAAGTAAGGCACAAACCCCTACATGGATATAACCCTTAAGTATTTTGTTGATACCAACCAACCAGTTTCCAAACAAATTTGGGATATATGATTTCTATTCAGGGTATTGGAGGAAAAAAATATTGGGCAATAGTTTACTCTTCACCAGGAGAGGTTGACAAAGTTGTACTTCATTTTCTGCATGTCCAGTGTACCACTACCACGATAAAAGTTGTTATTCTTTTGCATTTGCAATTGGCAGGTCTCTCCATTACAATCCATATGAAAGAAAAGGAAAACCAAGCTGTGCTCAGCATCCACAACTCCTCGAGTGCTTGCTTATTAGGGCTTGTACAACGGTGCTTTGTCAGCCGTCTGTAAGGTATACCACATAGGAATTTTATCTAGGTGGAAGAGAGAGAACGAGGAGAGAGAAGGAGGGCGTGGGTACTTAGGCAGACGGTCGATAGCCCCAAAAAATCGCCCCTATTGACAGCATTCCTCCCATTGTACGCGAGGGTGTCGGTAATTTCCTGTTTTCCCTACCAAGCTGTGATATCCCGTGCAGCAATGCTACATCGACGGAACTTTACAGGGTTTTCCAGAATGTGTTTAAGCTGTCAAATTGTGATTGGATTAAGGAGAGGTTGGGGCCCCACCCACCTGAAAATCAGGGGGGCATGTGTAGTAGGTTAGGAATGAGCCTGTAAAAGCCTGTAGGCCTCTGTATGTTTAGCATTTTTGTATCCCGTGCTGCACAAATCCAATCCCGTGAAAATCTCTTGCTTTCTCCGCTGTATCTCCTCCGGCGAGAACTGCACGGCTGGGCCGCCAAACTGCTTGATGCATGCCGAGCAGCGGGGACTGCGTGGTGTGGCGGATGAAGAACTTGCCACCATCAAAATAATCGACCAATCCCCGTTGTGCAGCTAGCATGCAAGTAGCACATCAAATTGATCTGTCTAGTTAGTTTACATGCAGGTTTTGCACAAGTCCAAGATCAAGACTTGGTGGACGCAAAAGCCGGAGTAATTTCAGTTAATTTCATTATTTGAGGTGCTACAATTACCATATAAAAGACAGACTGTTGCATACGGTGTTTTTAACCCTGTCTATAGGTGACGTGGATGGTTATTCTAGATAGGCGGGTGTCTTAACTAATGTACATGCCCTGAGTAAATTGATGTCTCGTTTCATGCAGTTTATTCAGCTGAGCAAAGGAGTATCCTCTTACAGCATGCATGCACGTCCAACGTCAACCCACACGATCGACTGGACGTCATGAGAACATATCCAATGATGCACGCACTCACATGATATATGCTCCTTCTGTTAATAAATATAAGACGTTTTAGTGATCTAAAACGTATATTTTTTTGCTCTTTGGAAATGACGGACGAATTCGAACTGCTGGTTATAGAGATCTCTTAACTAGTAATTGGCAAGTCAAACGACAAAGGACGCACAAATCCACCGCCGTTAGTTGCACGATCGAGGTCGAGCTTGGCGCCACATGGCTTTCCCTCAAAGAAAGGGCCGGCGCACGTACGTAAGGTCGGCACACACCATGTAACCCAGACCAAACATATACCATACCGCATCAGTGTACTAGCTACTCCATTGACGGCATCGACATGATCTTCACTTGTTAATTTCTTGTCAGCACCGGCCGGGCCCCATTTTGAAGTTCAGCGGCCTGCCGGCCGGCCGGCCGGCCTTCTTATCACACACCGGGGCTGGCTGATTGGTGGTAGTGGAAGTGTGGAACCCGTGGAAAGTGCACGGGACAACTCAGAGACGACGGGGCAACCGACCACCAACCGATCTGATATGCTCTATCTTGCGTGTGCACGTCACCCTAGTGCTACACTAGTTCCGATCGTACGGGCTCTTCAAGCACACGAGAGACGCCTATATAAACCAGCCACCTTCCGCTCGGAATGGCATCGCATGCATTCTGGCACTCATCCAGCACTTGCGTGGCATTTGTGTTGAGCTAGCAGATCAGTTGCTGTAGAGTGGAGATAGATTCCTGAGCTTGCACGCGTTGTGTACTCGGCGGTGTGGTGATGGTGGTTTGCGCGCTCATGCTTCTCTCGTCCTCTTTCGTCGCAGCTGAGCCAGGTGGCCGGCAATGGGGTCACGGGAGAGAGGCAACGGTGGCGCCGACGACGATGGCAAGAGGGCGTTTTGTAAGAAAGGTGCTGCGGGAGGAGATGGTCCAGGCGGACGACAACGATGTCGTCGACATTGCCGGCTCTAAGAGGAAGAGTCCCGGTGGCCCAGACCCTCAGCATCATTAACTGATGTCAAGGTCTCCTTACGTGTAGTTTCTCTACAGCGGCATCATATACATGGGACCTGAATCCCAAGATAGTTCGATGGATCAAGTTTGCGTTCTTGCTGTCTTGAATCTTGATATAGCGGAATAAATGGTTTTTTTCAAGTATATATGTATACATGTTACATACACGGTATAGTAAGCGACGCGGCACAAGCTTGTGGAAAAGAACAGAAGTTGTGACCCGTTTTCTCAAAATGAATAAAAAATATCATCCGCATTTTGCCACCCCTTTGCGCAAGTTTCAGCTGTTGTTGTTGTTTATTCACTAGTAGAAAATAGGGCTTTGGTCCAGGCCGGGTCAGCTCATTAGTCCCGGTTCAGTCTAGAACCGGGATCAATGTGGGCATTGGTCCCGGTTCGTGAGCCCAGGGGGCCGGCCGGGCCACGTGGGCCATTGGTTCCGGTTCATCTGTACCTTTTGGTCCCGATTGGTGGGACGAACCGGGACCAATGGGCCTCGCTCCTGGCCCACCACCATTGGTCTCGGTTGATGGCTTGAACCGGGACCAAAGGCTCCCCTTTAGTCCCGCCTCATGTCACCAACCGGGACCAATGAGGTGCCTATATATACCCCCTCGCGCAAGAGCAGAGCACAGTGCTCTGGTTTTCTGGCTCACCTCATATGCACATGAGGTGTTCGATGAAATGCCCGAGCCACACTACTTAAGCTTTCTCCTCTCGAAGCTCGACCTCCAAGCTCCATTTTCCTCGAGATTTGTCTAGGTTTAGCAGTCCGTCACGCCCCGTCCCCGTCTTCACCGCCGTCGATCACCCGCGCCGATCTCATCCCCGACACCACCGTGGTGAGCCTCTTGTTCTTATCTTCTTTCTGAAAGGAAAAATATTCTTACTTGTATGTTTAGATAGATACTTGTATCATTTTCTTACATTTATTATTGCATCTTATATAGTGCGATGGTTTTGGTATCCGCCCCATCGGCCCTCGTCCTGTCTATGATTCGGATGTGGTATGTATATTATCTTTATAACTATTGGTTCATTTATTGTTTATGAAAATTATGCCGACCCGACCAACGTGACATAGATTTTATTTATCTAGGATGTATGTGAATCGGAAATGCCAACCGATCCTATTGTCGAGAGGTTAAATTTAGTTGAAGAAGAAAACAATTTGTTGAAGGAAAAAATAAAAAAAATTGAGGAGGAGAAGATGATATTGGAGTTGCATGTTGCGGATGTCGTCGATGATCACAAGATCAAGATGGATGCAATGCGCTTGAAGATTAGAAAGATTAGAAAATATGCCATTCATACCGAGGCTTGGTATCATTATGCCGTTGGATCAATTGTTACCTTGGTTGCGATTATGATCGCATTTGTTTTCGCATTGAAATGTTTTACATAGTTTCAATGTATGGTTTAATTAATTAGATGCTCTGGAGAGCTATATGTTGTTAGATGAGAACTATGTATGCACTTTGGTTTTAATGTGATGATGAACTTCTATTAATTTGGACACTTAATTATATATAATGCACGCAGATGAACCGGCAATGGATGTACGGTGACAGACACACCCGGGAGTACATTAAGGGCGTGCATGAGTTTCTCGATGCGGCTGAGGCAAACACGTAGAATGGTTTTATGTGTTGTCCATGCACTGAATGTGGGAATACGAGGTATTACTCTAACCGGAAAATCCTTCACTCCCACCTGCTTTACAAGGGTTTCATGCCACACTATAATGTTTGGACGAGGCACGGAGAAATAGGGGTTATGATGGAAGACGGCGAAGAAGAAGAGTACGATGACAACTATGTGCCCCCTAAATACGGTGATGCTGCAACGGGGGGAGCTGGTGAAGATCAAGAGGAACTAGACGATGTGCCCAATGATGCTGCCACGGATGAAGCTGCTGAAGATCAAGAGGAACCAGACGATGTGCCCGATGATGATGATCTCCGCCGGGTCATTGTCGATGCAAGAACGCAATGCATTAGTCAAAAGGAGAAGCTGAAGTTCGATCGCATGTTAGAGGATCACAAAAAAGGGTTATAGCCCAATTGCGAAGATGGCAACACAAAGCTTGGTACCGTACTGGAATTGTTGTAGTGGAAGGCAGAGAATGTTGTGGCTGACAAAGAATTTGAGAAGCTACTGAAAATATTGAAGAAGAAGCTTCCAAAGGATAATGAATTGCCCGACAGTACATACGCAGCAAAGAAGGTCATATGCCCTCTAGGATTGGAGGTGGAGAAGATACATGCATGCCCTAATGACTGCATCCTCTACCGCGGTGCATACAAGGATCTGAACGCATGCCCGGTATGCGGTGCATTGTGGTATAAGATCAGACGAGATGACCCTGGTGATGTTGACGGCGAGCCCCCCAGGAAGAGGGTTCCTGTGAAGGTGATGTGGTATGCTCTTATAATACCACAGTTGAAACGCCTGTTCAAAAACGAAGAGCATGCCAAGTTGATGCGATGGCACAGTGAGAACCGAAAGAAAGATGGGAAGTTGAGAGCACCCGCTGACGGGTCGCGGTGGAGAAAAATCGAGAGAAAGTACTTGGATGAGTTTGCAAAGGACCCAAGGAATGTATGGTTTGCTTTAAGCGCGGATGGCATTAATCCTTTCAGGGAGCAGAGCAGCAATCACAACACCTGGCCCGTGACTCTATGTATGTATAACCTTCCTCCTTGGATGTGCATGAAGCGGAAGTTCATTATGATGCCAGTTGTCATCCAAGGCCCTAAGCAACCCGGCAACGACATGGATGTGTACCTAAGGCCATTAGTTGAAGAACTTTTACAACTTTGGAATGGAAACGGTGTACGTACATGGGATGAGCATAGACAGGAGGAATTTAACCTTAAGGCGTTGCTGTTCGTGACCATCAACGATTGGCCCGCTCTCAGTAACCTTTCAGGACAGACAAACAAAGGATACCACGCATGCACGCACTGTTTAGATGACACTGAAAGTATATACCTAGACAAATGCAGGAAGACTGTGTACCTGGGCCATCGTCGATTTCTTCCGACCAACCATCAATGTCGAAAGAAAGGCAAGCATTTCAAAGGCGAGGCAGATCACCGGAAGAATCCCGCCATGCGCACCGGTGATCACGTGCTTGCTATGGTCAATGATTTACACTACGTAATCTTTGGAAAGGGTCCCGGTGGACTAGCTGTTCCGAATGACGCTGAGGGACACGCACCCATGTGGAAGAAGAAATCTATATTTTGGGACCTACCCTACTGGAAAGACATAGAGGTTCGCTCCTCAATCGACGTGATGCACGTGACGAAGAACCTTTGCGTGAACCTGCTAGGCTTCTTGGGCGTGTATGGGAAGACAAAAGATACACCTGAGGCACGGAAGGACCTGCAACGTTTGCACGAAAAAGACGGCATGCCTCCGAAGCAGTATAATGGTCCTGCCAGCTACGCTCTTACGAAAGAAGAGAAAGAAATCTTCTTTGAATGCCTGTTCAGTATGAAGGTCACGACTGGCTTCTCGTCGAATATAAAGGGGATAATAAATATGCCAGAGAAAAAGTTTTAGAACCTAAAGTCTCATGACTGCCACGTGATTATGACGCAACTGCTTCCGGTTGCATTGAGGGGGCTTCTACTGGAAAACGTCCGATTAGCCATTGTGAAGTTATGTGCATTCCTCAATGCAATCTCTCAAAAGGTGATCGATCCAGAAATCGTACCAAGGCTAAGGAGTGATGTGGCACAATGTCTTGTCAGTTTCGAGCTGGTGTTCCCACCATCCTTCTTCAATATCATGACGCACGTCCTAGTTCATCTAGTCGACGAGATTGTCATCCTGGGGCCCGTATTTCTACACAATATGTTCCCCTTTGAGAGGTTCATGGGAGTCCTAAAGAAATATGTCCGTAATCGCGCTAGGCCAGAAGGAAGCATCTCCATGGGCCATCAAACAGAGGATGTTATCGGGTTTTGTGTTGACTTCATTCCTGGCCTTAACAAGATAGGTCTCCCTAAATCGCGGTATGAGGGGAGACTGACTGGAAAAGGCACTCTTGGAAGAGACTCAATAATATGCAGGGACGGATATTCTTGGTCTCAAGCACACTACACAATTCTAAAGAACTCTACCTTGGTGACCCCGTATGTCGATGAACACAAGAGCAGTCTGCACTCCAAACACCCGGAGCAGTGCGACGACTGGATTACATGTGAACACATCAGGACTTTTAGCAGTTGGTTGGAAACACGTCTCAGAGGTGACAACACTGTTTGTGATGAGTTGTACTTGTTGTCCAGGGGACCATCTTTGACTGTATTGACTTACAAAGGATACAAGATAAATGAGAATACATTTTACACGATCGCCCAAGATCAAAAGAGCACCAACCAAAACAGCGGTGTCCGCTTTGATGCAGCAACCGAGAGCGGAAAGGATACATATTATGGTTACATAGTGGACATATGGGAACTTGACTACGGACCTAATTTTAAGGTCCCTTTGTTTAAGTGCAAATGGGTCAATCTGTTAGGCGGCGGGGTACAGGTAGACCCATAGTACGAAATGACAACAGTGGATCTGAAAAATCTTGGGTACACTGACAAACCGTTCGTCCTAGCCAATGATGTGGCACAGGTTATCTATGTGAAGGACATGTCTACCAAACCGAGAAAAAGAAAAGATAAGGAAGCGAATACATCATACGATGAGCCAAAGCGCCACATAGTTCTTTCAGGAAAAAGGGACATCCTGGGAGTGGACGGCAAGACAGACATGTCTGAAGATTATGAAAAGTTTCATGAAATTCCTCCATTCAATGTCAAGGCTGACCCAAGCATCCTGATAAACAATGAAGATTATCCATGGTTACGGTGCAATAAGCAAATGACACAAGCGAAGAAAAAGTGAAGACTTTCTCCCGCAACTATTATGATGATACCATGCCAAATTTGTAACAGACGGGTATGCTATGCCAACTTTTTCAGAGTTCATTTG